GAGGTGAAGGTGGGAGGAAATAAAACAGAAACACGCTGTATCTGAGTGATGTTTTACATAACGTAGGCTTTGTGCTACTAGCAGCTTGTCCAAGGAGAGAAATGTTTGGACATTATTATTGTCCAGTGTGTTTGCTTAAAAAGAAAATTCTTTGACAAATTTGGCTATATTCCACTCAACACAGTGAAAATGGTTTAAAATTAAAAATGCAAAAAACAATAAATGTCCCTAAGGACCTCTGAGGGTTGCTTAACATAGGAAATATGTATTTGTGTTATTATTCTGCAGTGCAAAAAAATTCAATATTTGCTATACTTTTTGATACCTTGTAAGTGTTTGCTGTCCCCAAGTCGTTCAGTGCCTTGAAGAGAAAAATGTTTTGCACAATGTCAATAAGACCTTTCTGTCAAGCCCACTGGACTCAGGTGTTGACTTTAACAAAATGACTGAACAGTCTAACTTCAGCTTATGTTCCAACATAAATCATTCCCAGCTGAAATGTTTACCTGACATGCTCTATCAACCCATGACCTTGCCAGGTATTACTTCTATCATTGTTGCTTTGATTATGTATGTCTGGCACACTGCGCTTTGTTATCTAGAACATCAAAATCAGCACGGTTGTTTTTCATGTCATAAACAACACATGGATACTAACACATGTAATCCCCCAGTTTCTTACACAAAATATGCTAGAAATGCTCTTAAAAGACTAAACTACATCATGGACTATAAAATATGTCAGCTTTTCAATACAATACATACACACTCAAAATTAAGACATTTTCTACTTTATATGTCTATTCTGAAGATATCCATTAATTTATTCTTAAACAACAGGGAAACTCTAATGAGCATTTATTTTTTGTTCCTTTGCCTTCTCTATATTAGGACATCTGAATGCAGGAGAGTTTCTTCACATGTATATTCCTGATTGGTTTCAATTACTTGATAAAGGTCATGTGCAATAGAAATTAGAGATCTACTGTAGACCTAATGTAAATACATTCTTATCATTATTATTGTTGTTGTTGTTAAAAAACATTTATATTTCCCATAAATTGCTTATTTTGACAGAAAATCCAACATCCCAGGAATATGAACTTTTGTTTTCTCTAGTTGTCGTTGTCCCTTGAAGTGAATCTCATATAATCAAACTCATTGTCCTTCCCATCATTCCATTAAAGTCTGGAGAATGAAAAACCTACCAATTACTCTCAGGTTATATTGAAATCCTGATGATACACAATGTTCTTTGCTGCTTGTTAAAACCATTTTGTTTCCCAGACTGTTTTGACAATTACATTTAAATGTTTTATTGAGATAATTTTCATTGAGCCAATTTAGACAAGGCTGGGGTAAGAACAATTAAAGAATAGCATATTAATATATGTACAAGAAAAACAAAGTGTATTGTCTTTGTTTGTAACCCCTAATGTAAACCCCCAAGGACAAAACTATATATTTAGATGCTATATTTCTTTTAATCTATCCATTAAAAGCCAATTCAGCAATCTCTAAGAAAGAATAAAAACAAGACATGCATTGTGTAAGTTGGAGAGGGGCAATGCTAGGCTAAAATCATTGATTAAGATATTTTACATAGCCTGCTGAAAAAAAACATTATTAGAAAGCCAAACAATGGCTAATTACTCTGCACTAATGTGCAAATGATGCTCTTCAGCAGCACTAAAACACTCAAATCACTGCTCAGCCTTATGACTGTTAGTTCTCTTTTTTTCAATATATAGTCTCGAAAAATATTAAACTTTCAATAATGAAATCATTTAACACTCTTTGAACTACAAATAAGTTTGAAGAATAAAATAGGAAACACAGGTCAAATCTATTACTAGAGATGTATTAACTTTACGTTTGAGGGAGATGCTGCTACAGCGTCAAGGGAGTGAAACTTTCCCAAAATTTGATGTACTGAATTATGAAGCATGAGTGTGTGTTGGAAAGTGTAGTTTCATTGCTAGAAAGCAGTGAGCTTAATTAATAACTCATTAATAACAAATCGCAACACTAGGGAAATGAAGCATAAAAGCATAATAGGAATAAACTAGAACAATGAGGTAATAATTCAGTAGTTTTTGGATTATATTACAAAAAATATGAATACACATTTCCATTTTAAAATCTTCAAGGAATCATAATTGGGCATGTTGATTAATTTCTCAGTGTTTCAATGTAAAAGTCACTTTTAATGCAGTCACAGGTATGACTGAAATGCTTCAATTGATAATGTGAAGGATGGTTCACTCAAGTGAAAAACAGCAAGCACTAATGCTCGGTATTTAGACAGGCCGAGGTGGGGTCTTCTCGCAGAGCGAGAGGTCACAGAGAGATCACAGTGCCAAAAAAATGTTTTCTATGTCATCACTCTGAAAAAAAAATCATCTCCCATGAGGCATGACAGATCACTCACTCAATTATTGTAGCAAGCCTGCTTGCCCCTGCTGAGGCTGCACACCTGGGTCAAAAGACACAGCTGCATCAGTCATGATTGCAGCTGCTTAACACCACGGGGCTCAGCTCAAAGGTGAGTTTAACCCTGCTAAAGAGGGTTCTCTGCAGAGAGCATAATGGCTCTCTTCTGAGAAGCTAAATATACCAAGTAAATGGCCAGATTAATTCCTATCATTAAAATAAGAGCTGTGAATGTCAAAGAGTCCTTCTTGGCATCATTTATGCTTTAAAAGTTGGCTAAATATTCTGAACAGTGCATGAGGGGTTAAGACAGCATAAGACAATGAGATTTAAAAACGTATCAGCAGACTCATATCCACATGATACTATTTGATAAGCTTTTGAAAGCACTAGTATGCAATATTGCAAAGAGTTACACAAAGCCAGTAGAGCCTTTGTTTTGGTGTGAATACATCACCGTGAACTGTTGTCTAGCATCACTTCAAAGCAATTAGGCCGTGAAGTCTGAGTTTAATTTCGATTAAAACTCCACAAAGTTGTATAACTGCATCACACAAGACATCAGAGCACAGAGGGGAAGAACATCAGAGAATGTTTAATTAAGCTATTGTTCAATTCTCTGTGAATAATATATGTTAAATGAATACATTCACTAAGAAAAAAAGTGGATGAACTATAGCATGCCGCAGTGTGAAGCTAAAGACCACAACAATGCAATTTTCTTCTTTCTCTCTGATGCTGTTGGTGTCTGCGTTAGTGGCAACTTACACGGCATTATCTTCTTCCTGCTGGTCTCCCTATTAGAAAATAAAATTTGTTTAGGTGCCTTCAAACCCAATTAGTGACCAAGATAGAAGGTTTCCAAAGTGTCACTGTACGTGTAAAAAGGTTGAGGCAGAATCATCGATTTAGGTGGGCTTGATTAAAGAAAAGCAAGAGGTTTTTAGGAAGTAGCATCAGAAGACCTGTATAGTTTGTTTCATGTTTTTTTAAATGAATTGTTTGATTTGAATACTAGTAGGACAGAAATGCTGTTAGACAGTTTACACAATGACACAGCTCTGGTTTCCACGGATAAGTGTCATTCACATCTGTTAAATTGTCATCTGACTGTTGACAGTGGATAACAACCACACAAATGTGATTTGCTGCAGTTAAAGGACACTTTCAACTATAATCTGCTTCACATCCAACCCGACCTGAAATAAACAGAACTCTGCAACAGAGATTCTTTCCATAACACAATGCCTGTTTTTCAAACTCTGTTCAATGAAAATAGGGTCAACAATATACTTTACCTTGTTGGGTTTCTGATATAAAACTACATGACATTATAAATTTGGATATAGGAAGGAGGAAAAATCTGTTAAAATCATTAGAAGTTGTTTGCAGGTGTAAATTAAACAAAAATCTTATGTTTTTAAAGTAAAGGATTTGACTGTTTTCTATAGGTTATAGTTTGTATTGAGACTCTAGTATTTTAGTCAAGTGGTTCAAAGCACAGACTGTAATTAAAAGATGGATATAGCGACCATGATGTCACGCATTAGTTAAGGACGTCTCGTTGTGAAACACTAAGCTGTTTGCCTTCGCCTTTACCATCTTGAACATGATGAGCAAGGGGAGGAGTTGTTTTCACAACCAAGAGTGTCGTGTCCCTGCTGGCCAATGGAAAGAATGCACTTCTGGAGGCACCTCTACAGTGGATCCAGGTTTTTAGACTTGAAAAATTTGTCCATCATTTACATAATCTATTGTTTCTAATAGTATATTGGTCAGGTAAAAAGACAAATGACAAGACACAAAGAAAGAAATGGTTTACCCAGTTCTTTTAATGAGCAGGAGAAGAGGACTGATGGTTTCATGCTGTCACGATGTAATCAAAGTCAACACAGAAGGAAAATCCACACAAGTAAACAGACAGCACTTAATTTGCTCAGGGTCAGAGATGCTGTGAAGGGGGAAAATAAACTCAGAATAAAATAGCAATTTAAAAATGATACAGCAGACATTCACTTAGCAACATGTTTTAAAGAAAAATCCAAGCTCAGGTTAAATATACCTCTGCTCTGTTCATTTACAGTCATTTGATTCAGCTCAGCTCCTAGCACTACATCTAAGTCAGTCACTGTGGTTCCAGGAAAAACCCTGTGAATGTGTAGGTCAATACAGCTCCCGAAACCATGCATTTCATTTCAATTTAATAAGGTGTCACTGTGGTAAATGAGTGTGTCACATGCTGGGAAGTGACTCCTTAAGTCTGTAAGGAATTATCGTGGCTGGTCATGAAGCATACATGGATTTTTAATCACAAATTCTCACATGGAGCTGTTAAAAATGGCTATGTCGATTCTGATATATGTCATTTAACCAGATTGGACAAATAATACCTGCAGTCTGACAGGTTTAACCAAAAGAATGCCTTAGTAACAGCAACACTTTTTACTATATCATTTCTATCTTCCAGTCGACAGGAAAGCACACATAAAGAAGCAAACAAGCACAGGGATTCAATAAGAAGAATCAATATACTTTGTCATAATAGTATACTTCACCTGATTGTGACCCCCATGTGGGTGGCTCACTACAGTTTATCACAATAATGACCCTGTCAAGCATTCACAGAGTTTAAAGTAATTATTTTCAATACAAATGCCTGATCGTGTGGCACGTCTGTGGAATTTACGGGAAATAATTACTGTAAAAATCGGACGCTGTTTTTTTAAGCAAGGACAGCAATGGATTTCTGCTTTCAATTGTGCAATGGTCTGACAACATTCAAAATATAGATGGGTTTGTGAAATTGATATGGTTTTCTTATGCGTTGCAAAACTGGTCTTTTTTCTGTGAAAAAATCATCAATATCGTGCTTTAAGTTGCCTGATAATCCCTCCTCTATAGTGCAACTTCTCCATTATATTGTCATCCTCATGATAGTTAACATCCATTTTCTAGTAATTCCACTATTTCCAACTTTTCACTCTGCTGAGCTACATTTAAAGCTGTGGATCCAGAAGAATCCAGCAGTGTCCCGTCTGCTCCATTCATCAGTAAAGCTTTTACAATGGGTACACAGCCGTGCTGGGCAGCCAGGTGTAAAGGTGTGGCATTTCCATAATTTAAAGCATTGACATTTGCGCCATGGAATATCAAGTGGAGGACACTTGGAAAACTCACACTTTTACAGGCCACATGTAGTGGTGTCCATCCTTTACTCTCCTCTGTGACATGTGGGTCGGCCTTGGCTGACAAGAGTTTTGCTACCAAATCTGGCTTACTCTGGTGACAGGCCAGGTGTAGTGGAGTCCATCCGTTCTCACCTCTTGCATTTACACAACCACCCTGACTCTCCAGTTGGACCAGTGTTGCTTCATGTCCCTTTAGGGCAGCCAGGTGCATGGGGGTCCATCCCTGGATAGTAGTGGCATCTGGGTTGGCTCCGTTTGACAACAGCTGCCTACATATGCCTGTATGACCCTTCAGAGCAGCCAGGTGAAGTGGAGTATTCCCTTTGCTGTCTGCAATGTCAACAGTCGCTCCACTCTGTATCAACTGTCTGACTACTCTGTTATGGCCTTCCTCGGCTGATAGGTGAAGAGCAGTGCACAGACATTTGTCTGTCGCATTGGGATCTGCTCCATGAGTTAGGAGGAGTTTCACGATACTGAGATGCCCGTAGATGGAGGCCAAGTGGAGCGGTGTCCTCCCGTTTGCCTTCTCCTGTTCTACGACAGCTTCCTGCGATTGTCGCAAAAGCAGCAGGCGCACCACAGTTTCATGTCCATTTTGGCAGGCCAGGTGGAAGGGCATCCAGCCGGTTTTTTCCTGGGCATTGATGACGGCACCTTTGTCCAGCAGGAGTCGAACAGTCCTGTCATCGCCATTTTGAGCTGCAAAATGGAGTGGTGTCCAATCATCCTCATCTCCCAGGCTCCCATCTGCGCCATGTTCCAGCAACAAAGAGATGATGTCATATAGCCTGTTGAAAATAAGTTTCATTGATAGAGTACATTACAACTTAAAAATAAAACAGTCCTACACTTCAGAAAACTACATAATGCCACCTCATCAGGATCAAGACAAGCTTGACTTTGCTTAAAAACATAAATAGTGGGGAAACGTGGACAAATCACTACATTATACTTTTGCAGTGACCCATGCCTACCAGATGTGGAACAAGAGTCAGAGATATCATGAAGTGCATGTAGTTTTGCAATCAAGCAACTAGAGTAGAGACAATGTTGCAGTTTTCAGGGATGTTTGGGCAATAGTTCAAGCACACTTAATCACTTAGATGATTTTTTGATCTCTGTGCGTGTGAACACTTTGTTGCATACGTGGATAAATACAGTTTCAGGAAATACATGTTTACTGGATATTTATGCCTTTCTACCAATCAATGCATAAATATTTTTGCACAAATGGGATGCCATAAATAATTTTAACATCAAGATTATTATAACATTTCTCAATATTTGTAAGAGTTTTATAGATACGGTATAATAAAAAGACAATGACAGCGATACTGAATCAATCTTTTCCTTTAGTTCTTAGTAAGAAAGCAAAAACTGTATTTCCCTCATTTTCAGTGCTTCTCTTAAACTTTGAAGAGAAGAGCAGGAAATCTGGTAAACCAAGGATCAAAATAGGCAGTTGTTAGCACAGCATTGTCCCTTAGTTGCTTGCAACTGATCTAAGACAACATACATAGGCTTATACATACCTCTGCAGAACAGCAATAAGAAGAGGAGTGTAACCTTTGGCAGTCGTACAGTTGACTTCGGCACCCAGATTCAGGATGTGCTCGACACTCTCTGAATCACCGCTAGCTACTGTGCAGTGAAGGAGTGTCTTTTTGCCGGAAAACTGTGAGGATACGTGTTCCCTTCTCACAGACTTCCTGAAACTGCCAAAGTCTTTTTTTGATAGCATAGAGAGAATGGCCTCCTTGTCATACTGGCCATCTGTTAAATAAAAAGAAATTTGCATTATACAGCTTAGTCTAATGTTAATGTCTCTATTTGAAGCTTTTGTAAGCCAACTTTTAAAGGGATGTAGAGCTTTTGAGTACTAGTGTTGAAGATGCAGTGCTGTGCAAAAGTCATTTTTTAAAGTGGCTTTCTGAAGGTCTTTTATAGTTTTTCTTTGGACATTGGCTGCTTTTTCACCTAATTTCAGTCCAGTCCATGTACCTGACCATTTTAACACTGCCCTATGAATCACTCAAGGATATTAAAGAAACCTAACTCAAGGGATGAACCAGTGTTGTGTCTACACTGTATCTTTAAGCACTTTAAGTTCTAAGCCTGTCATCGCAAAAGCAAGAGAACACATTTTAACATGCGTTAAATAGTATTTTTTTTACCAAGAAGCAAGTGTGCATTGAGTGTAAGGAGCAGATGGAAGAGAACATGGGGAGGTGGAAGTATAGCTTGAAAGTCAGTAAAAGCAAGATAGAATACATGTGTGAATACATGTGTTGAGCCTTTTTTTGGCCATGTGCAAAGATGCAAATGTCCCAAAAGTTATAAAGTGGATATTCTGGAGGAAGGCTGTTAAAGGTGGAGTGGCTGCTCAGGAAAAAAAGACACAACACGGAGAAGATTCATGGGTATTGTGAAGGCAGACATGCAAAGGGTTAGACTGATGAAAGAAGGACATGAAATGATCCACTGTGGGGAAGTGAGTATCTACAGCCATGTGTAAAACACGGTTTCTGCCTGGATTTCAGTAAGTGGTGTTGGGGACCTTTTTGAAACTGATTAAATTATGAATGCAGAAAAGTAGCATCAGATCCACCATGAGCCACCATGACTTTAACCCCCCATGAAGTAGTCTGAAAATAATCTAATTGCCAGCTTTTATGAGCGTGACTATGGTGCTAAAAAAAATGCCAGTGTGTTTTTTAAAAAATACCTGGACTGAAAAGCACACAATGGAACACAATCAGTGATGGATTGGCCTCCTCAGAGCCCGGACTTCAACATTACTGCAGCAGTGTGGGATCATTTTGATAGAGAAAAGAGAAAAGGCAGCCAACATCCAAAGAAGAGCTCTGAATGACCTACAGGAAGCCTCAAGAACTATTAAATAAATTACAAGAAAGCTGTCTATGAGAGTTCAGACTGTGTTGAAGAATAGTGATGGTTGATTTTCACGCTTGTTAGAATTGCAGAAACTCTTCAATCTTTTTGCATGAAGTAATGTATTTTCTGGGTAGGTTGTCAGTCATCCAGGTCGTCGTAGTCTGATAATCTAATTATAACAGACTGTAAAAGTGAAAAGCATCCTGACCTATTATTTTAATGTTGTTCGCAACACTGGGTCAAAAGCATCAACAACGCATTACTGTCTCCTCCCCTGAACAACAGCTCCTCCACTCTATTGATTGTATTGACTCTATTTGTCAGTGTGAAAGGTGATGGATTTTTTTTTATGTGACGGCACTGTAAGCATCACTTTTGAAGTGTCAGCCCTGCAAAAATGATATTGAACTGAACATTTCCACCATGCTCTGAGAGCTGGTTTACCTGAAGGAGAGACTGACATCTCGGTATTAGTGATCTAAAATGGAAACAAAAGAAAAGAAAACAAAGGTTAATGGTTGTGATATCAGTCATCACAAGTGGCTTACAAGCACAATAATTAGTTATCGCGTGAGCTCCAGAGTTAAACAGAGTAATAAAAACTGACCACATTATTAATCTTATTTACACAGAATATTAGAAAAAATTGTTTGTGTGTGTGTGTGTGTGTGGGGGGGGCACGCTATTTCATGCCTTGAAAATTTGTACAGAACTTCAAAGAAGGGACTGAGACCTACCCTAAGCTAGAAAAATCGTTTTAAATTTCCATTCAGTACTACCATGACTTTTATCCTTTTGAAATAATCTGTAGGTTACTAGACTGACTGCCATGAAGCGTCCATATTTTTTCCAGCCATTTTAACCTCTTATCCAGTTTAGGGTCATGGGGGCAGGTGGGTGAGTGGGTTAGAGGTTATCAAAGATAGCCCTTTCAAGTGTTAGTAACGTGTCAGTTTAGAGAATGGTGGTTTTCATTTTGGCAGTTGTTGTTTTTTAATGACCCAAATTAGTTTGTAGGATTTTTAACCACAGTTGAGGTGGCTGCTGGATGCGTTCTCCACTAACTCTGTTGGTTAATCTTATGATCGATTTTGTTGTTGTTGTTGTTGTTGTTTGTTTGCTTTTGAAGGAGCCGGGGGTGGCAGAAAACACTTGAAAGCAACTGGCTTTGAGGGTAAATCCTACTAAAACTGGCTCCCTTGACTCCCCTGACTTTTCATTTGGTGTAACACAATTGACATTTTAATCGGCCCCAGATGTACATTGTGCTAATTAGCGAACGCTAGTGAACATTATAGTCAAACTTACTATAATACCACTAATCTGCCCTCAAAGCTGGAGTAGATACAGTGCATACAACAGAGCAACTAGAGTGGAGTCTAAAGAGTGGAGTCAAACAAACCTTTTTCACTGATGAGAACAGCCAGGGATAATTTGCTTTCTGATCCGCATCTCCATTTTTGCCACTGTGAATTGGTCCCGGGACCTTAAAGACTTCGCTCAAAGCCTCCGTTTGCTTCACAAAGTCTGCACACAAACAGCAGAAAGAAAATCTTTGAATTGGCCTGTTCAAGTTAATGTAGTCACCAAAACCCAGTGAGGACTGCCCCTCTACAGCATGAATGGTCATCCAGGAATCGCAGGAGAATTATTTCATAGATACGGTACTAATTGTGGAGAGATTTGCGAACACGACAAATTGGACAAGGTGCAGTTTATGAATAAACATGGAGGTGATTTGTATTCATCAGCATGACTTCTCAAGTCATGAGTGTTTCTTTAAACAATGGTGACCCTGCTTCTTATTATGTAAATGATGAAAACCTCATTTGAATGTATGTATTTCACTGAAGCATTATAATGTGTTCCCTGGGAGCACATCATTGACTTTTGACTTTAAAATTACTTGCAAAGCTGAAAGGAACAACTTGACTATTTGTTGTTTATGCATTTATTTTTCTGAGTTCAAACACTGGTCTGATGAAACTGATGTGCACTAGTAATCTTATTAAAATCCGATTGCTGTGGCTCTGCTCTAGATGCTCGAATGCAAAACTGCACGTAGTGCAGGATATCTCTAAATCTTGTTCCACGTCTGGCTAGTAACCTGGACTGCCCTCTCCAACAAGTTTTACATTTAAAACATTTAAATTCATAAGAAAAAGCCCAAAAGCATCCTTTTGCCGCACCTGAAAACGGTGGCCTCTTCCTGTGATCATCGTCCCAGCACTGCTTCATGATGCTGATCATCTGTTCACACTCAGGAGGCCTCTGATCGGGTATCATAGTCACACAGGGCCTCTTCCCCTGCGACACCTGTAAGAGCACTGTGGTCACACTGCAACCTGCATCCAGATTTAGATGTAGATGAGCACATGCAGTAAGCAGTGAATGGAGCAAAGTGAACCTACTTGTTTGATGGCTTTTTTCAAAGTGTGTGTAGGGCACTGAGCCAAAGTATTCATTTGGGAGAGTGTAATTTTCTTCTTCTACAAATGATTCCTCTGATTATCCCTCTAATGTTTAAGTTCTCACGTAAAAATAGCCACACTTTTAACCTCAAAATCCGATTATTTTTCTCTAAAACATTGTGGTTATGAATCCTTAGTGGCTTATTATCAATGTGGTATTGGTCTAGACATACCAAATGAATCATTGTGCTTTTAACATGTTTGTGGGTTTGTGCGTCATTACCATACTAAGCTTACAGACAGTTACTGTCGATATGCCAAGTTAAGATAACAACCTCTTGGCTTTGACTTTACTTTGAAAGCAGCATAAAGTTGATCTAATTCTGTAGGAAGACATCTGGCTTTTCTAACTCGTCTGACTTGCCACTTCAAAATCTTCACAGACAATTGTTTTCTCAGAAGGAAATGTCTAATAATGGAATCATGAGTACTAATTAAGCCAGTTTACCCCAAAGCTCATTTTGGTGACATGTTTTAAAGCTTCTGCGAGTTTTGTTTCATATGTTTCACAATGTTATTCACATCATTTAAGAACTATTTCTAAAAACACTGAAATGAAATCCCTTCATGTTTATGCAGTGTTACATAATTCCTTTCTAAAGAAACGCCTATTAATCATGGAATGAAGATGGGATTCATTTCAAATGAATAATTTCCTACCTGCATACGGTTTCTGTTGTGTCAGAATTTCCCACATCACAATTCCAAAGCTGCAAATCAAAGCAGAAGGAAGCACTTCAGTCCTGGCGTTCTCATTTTGGCATACTGTGTATTCATTGAACTTTGTGGATGTCCTCCTCACACATAAAAGGCATTGAAAGCTCTTTTTTGTTCAATGAAAAGCTTTTCAGCAATGAAAAATAAATAAATAAAAGTGCAAAAACGAGTGAGTGATATACATCTAATATGTCCCTCTGACTTCTGAAAGATTAAAGTATATATATTGTACAGCAAGGTTACACTGTGTGAAGTGTGAACTGTGCGCTGAATCAGAAAAAAAGCTGTGATTCTGATGGTGCAATTTCAAAAACACCCTTGGCAAGTCACCTGTAAACATCAAAGGTAGTTCCTGGAGGATCGGGGGAGTGAGTGAAGGTCTCTGGAGGAATGTAACTTATGTTCCCTCTAGCAGCCAGACGCTCCATGAACAAGGTCTTGTTCATGCCCTCCTCCCAGTGGATTAAACCAAAATCTGAAATCTTAGTGAAAAAAACCACACATACACACACACATACACACACACACAAAACAAGAATAAGACAATGTTATCGAATTAAAATAGAGCGCTCTGCAGAGCTCAGAATAAGCCAGGAGTTCATTTTAAGTTTCCAGAAGTTTACTGACCTTGATGTGGAGATGATCGTCCACAAGGATATTGGAAGTCTTCAGGTTAAGATGGAGTAGTGGAGGTTTCATGCTGTGAAGGAAATTCATGCCCAAGGAGGTCTCATGAATCATCTGAAACTTCTTCGGCCACATCAAACTGTGACTGGCTAGAAGATTGTTCAGGGACCCATTACTCATGTACTCCATCACAAGTGCAGTCACTTCACTGCACATGCCATATATGGGAATTATGTACTTGAATTTCAATTTGGCTATGCTGGACACCTCCTCTATTATTTTCCTGGAATAGAAAAGAAAGGCTGTGATTTTATTCGAATTTTGAACTTTGACCACTGGAAATGTTTTCTGTGAAAAACATCAAAAGTAGATGTGGTGAGAGCGATGGATACAATGAATCCAATAGTTTTTGTACAATTCAAGATGAAGTCCGAGTCCAATAAGCATTACCAAATGTTAGTTTAATCTTGAATTTGTTCCAGTTCACTGATATTTGCCTTGGACAATATACTGTTTACCTTTTTTAGAATAGGTAGTGATGAATCTCTTGGCTTAAGCCATGTTAATTCTGTAGTTGGTTAATGTTTAACTAATACATATTCACCAATCAGTTGTCATGTCTGGTTCAGAGGAGCAGAAATGTGTGTGATTAATCATAGCTGTGTTGTAACAAGTCCACGTGGTGTTTCACATTGCATTGTTCTGTACAGCCGTTACACTCCTACTGCCAAGTCTAAGTGCTCCCTGTTGCCTGTGATGGTGTTAATTTAGGCCTTCAGAGAGTGCGTGGTGCTATAATATAGTGGGGTGGGATTCGTTGAAAGCTTTGTCATATTACAATAAGATATCCTGGCATCGCAAATGCTAATTAAACGATAAGCTGTGGGCCTTTCCTTTCTATAGACCCAATATTCTTCAAAGTATTCTAACAATTATAACTTAGTTCCCACCTGTAAAAGTTGTTTCCACACAAGGTTGTGTCAAACGTTTTCAACGCACAGTTTTCCCGCCAGAGCTTGACCTTGACCTGGTACACCTCACCAGATTTGCATTTAGCCACCTTGATCCAGTCAGCCTCAAAATCATCCTTCTGGAAGTTCCTGAACTGCCCAGGAGCTCGGTCAAGGCGATCCATGAGTGCAAAGCTCCTCTCTCACACAACCCCTCAAAACAATCTCAGTCTCTAATCCTTCACATCAACAGGGTTTATCTTCCAGATCAACACTGATGAGCAGCACCGCAGGAGCTTGTGTCTCACACAGGGAGAGAAAAAGCCCAAGAACACAGACACACTTTAAAATAAGTGGAGCTAGCTGTGTGGAAGTTACGAGGAGTGATATCCAAACTAAACTACACTCCAGATCTGTGGGCGGAGCTGAGCTGAGTTGTAGAACTTGTTTGCTCTGCAATGCTGCAAAGCTGGTTTTTAGCAGCCGAGACTGCTGTCATTGCTTTCGGTCAATAGTGAAAGAACTTTTTCTTTCTCCTCTGATGCCAAGTTGCGATAATTTTTACATGCCAGTGCACTCATGTTATACCATTCTGTTTAGTGTGTCTGTCAAAACACCAAAACCAGGTGAATGAGACTGAACACATCACTGCAGTGGTCTGCTGGGGGACCTGCGGGTCAAAGAGGTGGTTTTATTATTATGGCTGATCACAGTAACCTTACTGGCTCATGATCCATTCACTTTAACAAGGAACACCACTGACACATATAGTTGAATGGCTCAGTTGCAATCTGAGTTGAAGGATATGCCCATTATTAACACACACACACACACACACACACACACACACAGAAAGCTTTCACATTCTGCTTGCTTGTGCTTTTATTTAGAGTTCACTCTCCTGCACTGGTGTTCTTATGCCTGTGTGCCTGTGTGTCAGGTTGCTCTCAGTGCTTCCAAGGCGTCTGCAGGTCCCAGTCCACTGTTGCATAAGAGACACTGATTAGACGATATTCAACAGCTCTGCCACTCAGCCTGAATCTCACGCTCCACCTCTCCTCCTAAAATCTGAGCCAAAACCACACCTGAGTACTACAATCAGTTTTTAAGATCAATAACCCATCAGAACCCCCTACAGTAATGTAATCTGGTGGCTCTGCTTTGCCTTGGGAATGGTTTGACTCAATTTTTCCCCTTAGCAGGGAGGCTCAATGCAACTGCAACTCAGACAAGGTTGATGGGAGTGTTCTCTTCAAATTGATGATGCCTCCATCCATATGATGTACGGCATTGATTGAATAGCTGTGATAGCTATGAAAATTTTGTCGTTATAGACATACTAGACAGTGCTGTGTACTGCCACCATAAAAAGACTAATTGAGGGAATGTGTTTTCAAAAAATGTTATTCATTGTTCCTGCAGAGCTCCAAAGATTTGAACAATCATTTTGACACACACTGACCCTGGAGCTGTTTCGGCAGCATGTGGTGGCCCAGCACCTGGAAAATCTCATCTAACTCATCTAGTAGGCGACGTTTTGTCACAAAGCTCTACTCTCTTTTTTTAAAGCTTATTCTTTGTTCAGGCACTTATTTTTTAGTTATTCATTTGTTTTTTAATGTGTTGGGCACTGAACTGCACGCCAGCTGGTTTCTCTGAGATTAGATGTGAAATCAAAGACGGTGTGCAAACACATTAGCAAACATCTTATCTTTGTATGAACTTCAAGTAGAGGACACAAAGTGACTGTCAAAATAAGAAATGATATAAAAAGTTTGAAAACAGTCATAGTCATAAGAACATGATGTGTTTCTCATTTAAAGTTTACCTGAAACTGTGTGGAAAATTGACTGAATAACTTTAGAAATCTTTGAGCATTCATTATGTGTAAGCATCCACTACCATAAAACAATCAAGATCATCGTTTTACCTACACCTTACCCTCAGCCTAGCTGGTTTTCCTGCCACAGTTTAAGACACAGAGATGCAGAGAAAATGAAATAAGAAAGACTTTGACCTGGTAGAGTCTTATTGTTTTCTGCATACAAGAAGAAGGACATCATTTCAATTACATTGTGCCTCTATCTTCGTTAAGGCTGGAATGAGGCACAGCATTGCTTCATTCTATGGAGCTGGTCATAGAGTTAATTTAGCATATTCCAAATGTATCAATAATCCTTAATAATGAATTGTAAATTTAGCAGCATGTGATAATAGTGCACAGGCACTATTATCTGTGAACCCATTTCCTCTCCCAATCTTTCACAACATTTATCGTGAAGGATTGGGAGCCTTACATTTTCTAATTATGTATTTCCATCTTTCTGCATCATTAAAGCGGGCTGTTCCTTAAGAGAAAAGATTTAACTGCCCGGCTTATGCAAAAGGATTACGGTAATAGAAAGCTCATTCAGGAAGATGAGAAAACAAAGACGTCCTCTACCTTCTCTTCTATTCCCACCTGCTGTTCTGGTTTATAGGCTCATTCAGTTATACTCCACCACCATTCAACCCCCTTTAGAGCTAAATTTATCTTGGGACATGAGGTTTTGTTGCAGTGTTAACCATAGTGATGAACTCCCACATACATTTATAGACACACACACACATATATAAATGATTCCTGTGGGTCCCTGGTAGCTTTGGTACTCATTTGGGCCGTCTCCTTTGGGTTTCTTGATTCCCATAGCAAATTTAGAATAAATATGGTTCCTTTGAGAGCAAAAGTCCAGCAAAAATTCCCAGTTGTCTGCAACTCTCTCTGTGAAGTCTATCTCTTATTGTGTGTGTTTTTGTCTTACTTTTTACACAACACATATAAATGTGATTCATCAGGTTCTCTATGCATAATGCACATCTTATGAGAGACCAACCACAGCCCAGCATTCTGCTGTCATTTCATCCTCTGAGCTAGCTTTTTGTTCAGGCTTTCATTTGTGAGACATGGTTAGAATTTTTTGGTTAATAATTCTACTTCTAAAGGATTTTCCCTTCCCGGCTCCTTTTAAATCTGTCAGCTCTCCCTGCAGGGATGCAGAGCGCATGTGGAACACATCTACAGGGTCACATTCATTTAGACATGTCCTATTGATTATATGTTTATTTTGCAAAGCCCAAAATGGGATAATCTCTAACTATATTATTGTGAGGCTTTACAAGATTATAGATTCATTATTTCTGCAGAGCACTATCAAAGGGCATTGTGGTGAGCTGTGAATGCCGTTGCACTCATATATAGGAAGACATGAGCAGAGTTAATAATTTAATGATATGAAAGATCTTCACTTAATACAAGGTCACATTTGTTTTATTTTGACAGCATATCTTCTTCCACAAAGACCAGAAAGGCTGTTTTCATCACAGGCATAAAATATGCTCTGCTTAGATATATATTTTTTATTCTGCAGATGGCAAAAGTGTCAACCCCTCAACTCAAGTCCTAACTACCCAATCACTTTCATTCATCCTACAGAGACGGGTGCAATAATAAATGAATTTAACATTCACTGACAGCCACAGCGTCATGCCTCACTAACTAGCACTATTATTTAGGAGAGACTCATGGATTGATGTTCTAGTGTAAAGCAGGCATCCGTGATAAGATTTCAGATAGGCTACCTGAGGGTGGAAGTCTGTCTTCATTGATGGAACCCACATCTTTAGCTCAGCCAATGGCATTAGCAAGCTCCACCACACCCGGTAAGCTGACTGGTTAGAGCTAAAGGGTTTTCGTCCTCTAATGGCTAACAAGCTTAACTCCAGCATTTCTTATTAATATTCTGTGAACACAGACGCCACCATTGGACTAGAACATTGCTGGGCCTCTCAAGAGCATCATTTTTTACTCATTATTTATTTCTACAGAATAATAAATAATGTCACAATGTTTAAAAAAAAAAAAAAAAAAGGAATAATATAATGGTTACCAAAACAGAGTCAGACTGAAAAACTGTGAAATAATTATTTATCCTTTGTATAGTGGTTCAAAATCTGAGGGTGCAGTAATTTAGTAGTGTTTCAAATTTAAATCCCATATAATATAAAGCAGGGTCTGTTTCGATTTGCCTAGATCAGCCAAAGTCAAGAGTCATTCTGCACACTGTGCTGTGGCCTACTTAAAACCTGAGAAAACCCCATGGAGCTCACCTAAAAAAAGAAAGTGATGTATATTTTGGAAAATTGTATTCAAAAAACATGAATAACACAGGCTGTTGACTATGTTTTTCGTAATGCTACCCAGTCATATTCAAAGTGACCCACCTGACCCTAACATCCATTTAAAAGCAACACATTCTGGTCAGGTTAATATCACAAACTGACCATCTCCTAATACCAGTTTTAATTCACTTTTTACATTAATAAATAAATGTTTATACACCTCTAACTCTACACATGTGAGTAATTTCAAACTGAATTACTGTGGCTTACCTGCAGTAACTTCACCAGCAGTGCCCACCCCACACTGTGGGAATCACTGGCCTAGGCACACACAAAGTAACATATAATTTACTTATTGTTTGGACTTTGATTTAAAGGTATATTATGTAAATTCTGATACCATTAGTTAAAAACATGTCTGCTAGTGCATGAAAGTGGGAGCACAGGAGTTGTTGTCTTCGCCAATGTGTCATATTTTGGCTTAAAATGGACTCAAGGAGCAAGCTGGTTAATATTTAGGGGCAGCTGGTAATTGGCTGGGGAGGATGGTTTATCAGGGACGCGACCAGGAGCCCTGCCAGAAGAAGAGAGAAAGTGTTAAAAGCAGCCAAGATCAATTGAACAAGACATTGCAGACTTCTTTAATTAAGTTCCACTATCTTCTTTTTGGTCTTATGAATAAAGTTTCCAGAGATGTTCACGGCTGGTAGGCCAAAATCCAAATCAGACCAGGGGTGCAGGGAATGGTGTTCAGGCAGGTGGAAAGCAGGTAAATCCATTCCCATCCAAGGAAAGGAAGTGACTGATTGAAGCAGGCAAGAGTAGCTGGAGGTGTTTGAAATATTCTTCAGGTAGGTTGCGATTCAGATTTACAGGACAGGCTCCAGAAAGGAGATGACAAAACTGGGTTGCGAAGGAAAAAGCACAAACACTAAAGGGAGGGACTTATTATAATTATCATTATGATCATCATCATCATCAATCACCGGCCAGGATTTGAAGACCAGCTCTAGCCTCCACTAGCCAGATGGTCTGCTACCTCACGGTGGGAAATCAGCTCATATAATATTGCTTAATGTTCATGTTCCTCCTCATGTTATTTTAACATGATTTTCTCCCTGCATCTTCAGTATCCACGCTCTAGGTTCAATACTCACCTGTCTCTCACCATGTCTTCCAGTGCTGGTCAACTCAGT